GAGGGGAGGGGAGGGGAGGGGAGGGGAGGGGAGGGGAAAGAGAGGATGCTTGCACAGCAGGGACTCAAGCTTGCCCAGCCGCCCTGGTGCTGCAGCCCACTTCAGCCTATGTAAACATGTTACTTCCTTCCTCAAGTCTTTCTTTCTGGTCACAGACCGTCTAGAATAAACAGTATATTAAGCCTCTATTCTAATTATGAAAGGTACGATTTTTAACTTACCATTTAGCAATCAGACACTTTTCTTGCCTCACAGTCCCCATTCCCTGCTCTGCACATCTACTGATTTTCAGAGTGAGCATGTGGGTGCTCCAGCTCCGTTCTGTTTGACTTTCCATTTACAGTAGACAGAAGACCTAGAGTATATGGCTCCAAAGTCATGCATTTCTGGCCTCAAACTGTAGGGAAATTGCAAATCAAGCCGGGACTACATTTAGCATCTCTTATGCTCAGACGCTAATGAACATCAATTGTCCAAGCTGGAGCTAGCTGCCTTTTTAGTGTCTAGGGTCATGAGACTGTTGACTTGCTTATTTTCCCTTAATACCTCATCTCCAGGACAGCCTAAACTCCCTTGACATAAGTAATACAAATACTTATTTTGTGGAAATTTTCCAACATAGTGCCCAGAACGCTTTCAACAAATGTTAGCTGTTCACCTTGACATTGCCACGATGAATACCAAATTAGAGTAGCATGGATGTGTATAATCTACTTCGCTCTTGAAATCTTACACAGACAACATATTCAGGTCAGCAGCAGCATTTTCTACCTTCCTCTTTGTTCTCCAGCTTTTGATCTTAAAAAGCCTAGCTGTGAAATGAATGATTTCAACTAGGGTCACCAGGTGGGGACTAGTTAGGCCCTGTAGGATCTGTTGATGACAACTCAATAACTGCTCAACTTTCCGTCTCTGCGACATGAAAATAAAACGCCCACCCAGCGTAGGCCTGACTATTCTAGTGGAGTGTGGTTATAAAAGCAGGCAGTGCCCTACATTTCCCCCCAGTCTGCCGATCCCAGAGCCCTGACTTAACAGAAGTCCGTCCTCACTGAATAAAGCTTCCTTAGGACTTTGTTGCTCTTACTAAGACATTACCAGGAACTGAGGATTCTCCTTCAGCTCTACTTCTAGCCTCTTTCAAGGTGGAGGATGCTGCTATGTCCAGGGCTGACCTGGGTGTTGAGTATCTGAGAAGCAGAATAAGAGGAGTGCTTACAGCCACCTGGCATCGATCTGTTTTAGAGGCTCAGCTCAGTTTCTCTTTGCAGACATGCCCAAGTTCCTTTTATATTTTCACGTAGAGTACTATATTAGTTACTATTATATTGCTCTATAAAGAGATACCATGGCCAAGGCAACTTTCAAAAGAAAAGTATTTAATTGACGATTGACTATAGTTTCAGGGGGATAGTCCATGATCATTGTGGCATGGAGCATGGCCGCAGGTAGGCAAGCATGGTGCTGGAGCAGGAGCTAAGAACTCACATCCGATCTAGAAGTTGTAGACAGAGAGAAAAAACTAGGCCACCCCTAGTGACACCACTCCTCCAACAGTGCCACACCCACCCCAACAAGGCCATGCTTCCTAACCCTTCTCAAACAGTTCCATGAAGTGGGGACCCGGCATTCAAACATGTGAGCCTACTGAGGCCATTCTCAGTGAGACCACCCCAAGTACATCTTTCATGCAAAGAAGTAGATCATCTTTCGTGTAAAGAAGCACGTATGACAGAGGTGAAATGAAACCCACCTCCATTTTCCTATTGTGGAATACCAGATTACTGATTTAACTCTCTCATGATGAGGAATAACAGTATAAAATTTATAAATCTGAAACACAGAAAAATGTACCATTGTCAATAGGCAGGTAGCACTGGGTAAGAGCACTATTTCAGAGGCTTAGAATCCCATCAGTCCCAGAGTCAAGACAGAAAGATGAGCACAGAGGGGCGATTCAGCTTTCTCCTCAGAGAATCCACTCACTTTGATCACATGATTGTAGTGAGAATTCTGATCGGTCTTAAGAATAAAAACCTAGAATTCATGCTACACATGATAAACTTTTACCTGACTTTCCCCTTCCTTACACTTTCCCAAAGCACTGAGCAGGTATCGATAACAGCCATCAAATCCCAAAGAAAGGATTTCCAAGAGAATGGAGGAAAATATTTGTTCTACTTTTTCTGTCAGTCCTAAAGATATTCTTTAATCCTCTTTGGCAAATGTAAATGTCAGTGTTGCTGATGAGGTTTTGTCTTTTTCACATACACACACACACACACACACACACACACATACACACACACACACCCCTACTTAGATCTGAATAGGCGGTAGGAAAGACAAGGAATAAATTAAGACTCAGCCCTTGGTGAGGCTGTGAGACAGCCTTTGTGTGGTTGTCTGGCCACAGGGTATCTGGGTCGTACAACTAGCCTGCTATGTGGATCACATTGGAAATGCTGCAGAGCCCAATGAAGAATGCCATAGATGACAGCTGTAGTTGTGGGTGCTGGGAACAGGGCTGACTCTTCCTCAGCACCCATACTACATGTACAAGGTTACGTGTTTAGCCTGTAATTTCAGCTGTAGTAACTATCTGTTGCTCTGGCCACATGTGATTAGTGGGAGGTGGTGGAGAACATCGCTGAGGACTGATTAAATAACTGCTCCTGGGACTGGAGAGATAGCTTAGTGATTAAGAGCATTGGCTATTCTTACAGAGGACCTGGGTTCAGTTTCCACCACTGACACAGTGGCTCACAACTGGCTGTAATGCCTTTCCTAAGAGATCCAATGCCCTCCTTCATGAGCACCAGGCAGGCACATCCACAGATACATATACAGGAAAATACCCATGCACATAAAAGTAAATAAATATTTTAAAAATACCTGCCTCAGACAGCAGTATTCCACCACATCTAAACTGACACATTACTTTGCATTTTTATGATACTTATTTCTAAATTACCCTTAAACATGTATAGATAAGGCTGTCAGGTTGGAAGAAATTCACTAAGTAACCCCTGTATAAATGATATGAATTCTTCCACAGGACACTATCTTGACCCTGACATTCTGCCTCCTCGGCAGTAGAACTGACACAAACAAGGATCAAGGGATTTTTGAAAGTGAATCTTAGCAAAAACAAACAAACAAACAAAAAAAAACCAAAAAAAAAAAACGAATCAAGCCACAAAACGAAGTTGTCTTTTCCTGTATGCCTTCGTATGTGAAGCTTGTGACTAGATGTTACAAAGTCTATAAGGCCTTATGATTTCCCCATTTGAGAAACTCTTGTGAGACCAAAGCTTTACTGTGTTGCTATGGCAACAGATGCATGTGCTATGGCTGGATGAATAGAGGGGAAACAGCCAAAGTAGAAGAAAATTACATCTTATTAACTGTC